TTAGTAATAACAATGTAACTATCATCATCACTGTTGAGAAATGGTACAAGATTACTCATATTTTGACCCTACAATCTGCTAGATTTGGGACCTTTGGACAGGTTGCTTAAGCTTAATCACCCTTTTCACTTGTAAAAACAATTTGCCCATACCTGGAACATAGTAGGTACTCGATTTGTATTAGCTTCCCTTCTGCCTTCCCTTTATGAAGACTAATTGAGGGCAGTATTGTAGTGAAAAGACATGGATGTACTTAAAACACACAGACCTGAATTTAAATCTCATGTATGAATGACTTCTGGAAGATTAATTAAGCCTCCCTTGGCCTCAACATCTTCACTTGTAAAATGACAATAATACCAATGCTGCAGGATAATTGTGAGAGTTCAGGGTCAACACATACCATAATTTCTGAATAGATATAAATAGTAGCTGCTATTATTATTTTAATCCTTAGATAGATAAATTTATACTGCTTCAGTTCTCCTCTTTTACAAAATTAATATAATAATCTCTCTAAGATGGTCAGGACTATGATCATGGACATTGAAGCCACATATCATGATTAAGTGGGTTTTAGAGTCACAGGGAACTTTGTTGAAATTTCTGCTCAACTACTTACTTTGCAACTTTGAGCATGTTTACCTGGGGGTTGGTTGAACGTACGTGTGTGCGTGTTTTACTTTGATTTCCTCATCTATTTAGTGGGGATAATCTTACCCTCCTCACAGGAACACTGCAAGGATTTAAAGATGTCACATGCATAAAGCACTTATAGTGCGGTGCCTAGCACATGAGAATTGCTCCATAAGTGAGCACTTAATAGAATAGCACTTGTTTTTATTTCTTTGAGCTGTTTGTTCATTTCATTAGGATGCTCTGTTAATGAAACGAAAACCTCATGTAGGCCTACAAGATTTCTTATTCCAGGGTGTGTAGTAGACTCTTCTGCCATGCCTCAGCTCCTTTCTAGCAAGTGGTTGGACCGAAGGAGGGACTGGGTTAAGTAGTGTGGAGGCTTCCCCAGTGCTAGTCAAACACTTCAAGGCTGACAGGGGTCCCTTTTTTTCCTGCAAAGTATTATCTTCATATTCAGAAAATAGCAGTTGATGTTGTAGAATTTGGGTGTAACAAATTAACTGTAGCAAAAACTACTTCATGAACAGTTTCATTTTCTTCATCATTTCTAAATATTTTTTTAAACAAAGAAAGTTTGTTCCCTGGCAAGTGTAGTTGATAGAATGTTGCTTTTCTGCATGTGGAATAAATTTAGTATCTTAGTTATTCTGAACTTTTATGAGTTGTACTAATAGAGGCTTAAATGATTTTAATCATCAGGCAAATATTCGATATGAAAACTTTGGAAATAAAATCATGGTAAATGTAAGAGTCAAAGTTTTTGAGTGATATAAATTGTGGCTAAGAGCTTTATTCTTCACTAAGACTGGAGTGAACAATTTTTTTTTTTCTAGTTTTAAATATTCTTGTGCAATAACAAACCATTGACACTTAGGGTCAAATGCTGTTTTAATTTATAAGTTCCATATTGAATATATTTTTAGATAAAGCTTTAACTTTTATTCTTCATACCTCATACTATATAGCACTTTTTAAAGTTCTCATTGCTCTTAAGGATGAAAGAACTTGAGAAATTTCACAATGAGCTAAAATGTAGCCTTAAAGACTCATAATTTGCAAATACTGAAAACTCAAGCTTGTTTTCACAGCAGGTAAGACCTTAGAGAAACAGCCTTATTTAATTATAGTTTTTAAACAAGAACACTGTACTTACTTGATAGTTGTTAAAGAGCTTAGTCAGTAGGCTCCAAATACTTGATTTAAACTAGCGGAACAATAATAATTACATGGGATGCATGGAGGAAATGTACAGCATTATTTGGTCTGTAGTCACACAAAGTTACAACATGGTTTATTTTACGTATATTTAGTTTGTGGTTTGGATTTTAACTTTTTATTACATTTTTCCTGGCTGCTTTGTGTCTGACATTTTTAAATACAGTCAAACTAAGGATTAAAGGTGCTATAGACGCTATGACATTTTAAGTCTCGAATTGGTAGTATATAGTTCAATTTAGGAATTTTATATGACATTTGGCACTTTCTTCTCTTTATCATTCTGTTTGTTTAAGCTTATTTGTAAAGTAGAATTATGGTAAGATGGAACTCAAAATCCAGAGTCTTTTTAGTGAATGTTGGAAATAGCATAGGACTTCTGTAGGATAGAAATCAGGATCTTAATTGGGCTGAATCAAGGTAGCTATACACAAAGAGGATGATAATGATTTCCCATTGGTAGATGTGTTCTCCCGGTGGTGTTGGTGGTGTTGGTGGGCATTGACAGATTTTTTCTAAATTGCTGAATGGCACATTTATAAAATGGTTTGCTCAGTAAATCAGGGAGTAGTCTGCAGCTATGGAACAGAATGAAGATGAGGAGGAACCCATGGGCAATCAGATTCCTGGCTTTCACTCGTCAAACATTTACTGAATGCATACTGTATATCCTGAATATAAAATAGCACACTGTCCCAGCTTCATTGAGTTCCTAGTGCTTCTAAGTAGATGAATTGGTACTACTCTGGCCTTAAATATCTTCTGCTCTTTCCAGTGGGTAAGGTGCTTCAGGTTGGTTGCCTTTTAATAATGAATGTGGAAAAGAGCAGTAAACCCATTTTTCTTACTATAATTAGGATTATCATCAGTTTTGAATCATTTGGCTTTCAATTTTTCAAGGGATCTCAGCATGTTTTTATTTTCCTAATCTGAGTTCCATGTTAATGTATGATAAAAAGTCATTAATTCAGGGGCCGGCCTGTGGCTCACTCGGGAGAGTGCGGTGCTGATAACACCAAGGCCACGGGTTCGGATCCCATATAGGGATGGCCGCTTTGCTCACTGGGTGAGCGTGGTGCTGACAACACCAAGTCAAGGGTTAAGATCCCCTTACCGGTCATCTTTAAAAAAAAAAAAAAAAAAATCATTAATTCAGAGTCAACTAATTTAGAATTTATAGTTAAACTGTTATTGTCATCATTGTCATTGAAGAAAAGATTTGAAAGCTAATAGTATCAATGAGAGGAGAAATGCCACATGTAATATATATAGCTAAAATGATAAACTGTCATGTTGTACATATTTTAATATACATATATAAAAGTATTTTAATACACAAATGAGTTGTGAGTTGCTCTGTTTGCCACTACTAGCTACATAACTTTAAGGTTTCTGAGTTTTAAGAAATTGACCTGGGTGGTCTTTTAAAATCAATCCCAACTCTAATAAACTTTGGTAATTCTGAATTTAAGGCAGACTTGGCAGAATTACTGTCCCCATCCAACACTTCATTAAACATTTGAGAAAATATTACAACTGTATCTTTTAAAGACTGTTTTATCATTTAACTTGTAACTTTTCAGAATAACTTATCCCCAGAATTTCAAATTAATATAGTTTTATGATTGAATTATACTAGGACTCAGGAAAGGAATCTGGTTTAGGTACTAAAAAATATTAGACAATAACAGTGATTGATTAAAGTAAATAAAAGCTAGGCAGTCACTCATTGTGCAGTATATGAGTATTTTTCTTAGACCATCAAGAGGAAAACTTTTCTTGAAAAGATACTTTCCCTGAATAGGCATTTCTCAAGAGAAGACATAGAAATGGCAAATAGGTATATGAAAAAAAAGGTCAGCATCAGTAATGCAAAATATAAATTAAAACCACAATGAGATATAACCTCAAACTTGTTAGAATGGCTGCTATCAAAAAGACAAAAAATGAGTGTTGGCAAGGGTGTGGAGAAAAGGGAACCATTGTACATTGTTGGTGAGAATGTAAATTACCATAGCCATTGTGGAAAACAGTATTAAGATTCCTCAAAAATTAAAAATAGAACTACCATACAATCCAGCAATCCCACTCCTGGGTATATACCTAAGGAAATGAATCATGTCAAAGAGATAGCTACACTCCCATGTTCATTGCGGGATTATTCATAGTACTCAAGGTATGAGAGCAACCTAAGTGTCCATCAACAGATGAATGGATAAAGAAAATGTGATATATATACACAATGGAATACTTTTCAGCCTTTAAAAAGCAGGACATCCTGTCATTTGCAACAACATGGATGAACTCAGAAGATATAATGTTAAGCGGAATAAGCCAGGCACAGAAAGATGAATACCACATGATCTCATTTATGTGTGGAATCTAAAAAGTCTAACTTCTAGAAGCAAAGAATAGGATGGTGGTAAACAGGCTTGGGGGTGGGGGGAAGAAGATTAGGGAAATGGTCTAAAGAATACAAAATTTCAGTTAGGAGGAATAAGTTCAGGATATCTATTGTAGAACACAGTGACTATAGTTAATAACAATGTATCGTATACTTGAAAATTGCTGAGAGAATAGATTTGAAGTGTTTTCACTGCAAAAAAAAAGTGTGTGCAGTAACGGATATGTTAATTAGCTCAATTTAGCCATTCCACAATATGTGTGGGTGTGTATTTGTATGTATATATGTGTGTGTGTATGTGTATCAATAAAAACATAATGTTGTACACCATAAATATATATAATTTTATATGTCAATTAAAAATAAATAAAACTTTAGAGAAAAGAAAGAAAAGATACTTGCCAAGTAAATACATTTGGTAATCTGAGTAAGCTATTCTGCGTACCTTCTGAAATACTCTAATCATACACCATGGTTTGAGAGCCTTGTCCATGTATCATAAGATTTATGAGTCTTGTGCAAGATTGCATTAGCACTTTATTGCCATGTTGTAAAAATTGGTATTGTGATAATCATTACTGAAACATAGCCCCAGATTAAAGTGATTCACATAAGCCAGCAATTGTTTTACTAGTGTCAGCTTGTTCTTTTAAGGCAAGTTGCATTAAATTCCCTGATTGTGGCTTACTGTATGGACTTAATTGAATTGCTATTTCAAGTAGTACTTTTTTCCCCCCTACAGGTTAAAATTCTGTGTCACCAGTTGCTGGTCCAGGTGTGTGACCTGCTTAGGCTAAAGGATTGTCACCTCTTTGGACTCAGTGTTATACAAAGTAAGTCCTACTCCCATCTCTGGTGGATTTAGCCAACAGTTCCTGAGGAAATACATTTTATAGCTGTAATTTAAATCAGACAAATTGTTATAAAATTGTGGTTGTCAAAATACCCATAAAGTGATCTTCATTTTTAATCTGGTATTTCTTTTTTAGTCTCAACTACTGTGTATTTCTTACAAAATTCAGGATTTTAGGTCATGTATTTATTTTAGTTTGAACTTAAAAATTGATTCTTCTTTAGGAATCTAGATTTTGTGTGTTTGCTTTTTTATGTTTTAATAAACTAAGCTTCATTTTTGTTTTGTGTTCGGGGAACAGCTGGAGCTGGTAGGAAAGTGTCTTAGATATTTTTGTAACTTAATTTATTTTGTAACTTTTGACATTAAAGTTTGCTTGCTATTGACTATATAGTATAACAGAATGGTCTATTAATTTAATCTCATTTTCTGTTTTTTTCTCATCCCTTCTTTTTTTTCCAATCGGACTTTATGCCTTGGAAATATAGGATCAGTTTCTTCTGTATTATGTAGAGTAGATTTTCAAGGATTCCTTATAAGCTTTCTTCTCTCATAACACCTCAGTTATAGTTAAATTCCCAGGTCTCTCTGATCTACATCCATTTCCTATAAGCTTTCTTCTTTGAAATTATATTGTCAGATTTCTCTTAATTTAGTCTTCTGCGGCAAAAGCCTTTCAAATCTTCACTCATTTTACCAGGAGGACTTCTTTGTGAAATGTAGTTAGTTATGTTTTTTATACTTGGATATGGATTATTTTCTGTTACTGGAATTGGTTTAAATTTAAAAGCTCAAGATATCTTGAGAATCTGGTCAATACCATAAAATGCTTACATCTGCCAACTTGGAAAGTGTAACATAGTCAGCTGATAAACAAGGCCACTTTTCTCCAAATGTGAGCTGTTTTCAGTTGCCATTTTAGGAGAGGCCGAAGAGCATGATGCAGGGAACACATCAGGACCCTGTGAATCAGCCATTTGCTCTTCAGTTTCTTCCTGTGGTAGTTAAAGCAATAAAAACACAAATGCTAAACTTCGTCTTTGTGTTAGTACATCCTCAGTCATTCCTACAAGGAAGAGTCTAGAAGCAATAAGGTGCCCTATAGATTGTGAGTAACTTTTATTATTCTATGCTCAAAGTTAATTCTTCTTGCTACATCTGCAGCCAGACTGTTGATCTTTGTTGTTCAACAAGTCAGTCCAATTAAACCAGTTTACAGCTTCCATAGGTTTCAAAATGTTTTTAAGATGTCCTTTTTAAAAGAGAGATTGTACTATGGTGAAAGAACATTGGAATGAGAATCAGATGACCTGGTTCTAATTCTGTTTCTACCACTAACTAGCAGTGTGGCTTTGGACACTCCACTTGACTTCTCTCGATGTCAGATTTTTCACATGTCAAATGGAAATTACTGCTCCACCAGCTTTGCAGGATTGATGTGTGCTTGAAAATTCTTAAGATACCAAGCTCTGGTCAAACTGTAGATAGTACAGATATAGTGGTCATTTAAAAATATATATGTGCCATTATGGTGAACAGTCTCAATTGTGTTCATTATGTTGCTTCTGTAGATGGGAATTCGAGCCAAATACAAATCAGCTTCAACAGGGAGATTGTCTGGTCTTGTTCATTTCATGTTTAATCAGTAATATGAGAGACGGGCAATATTGTTTGTTGACCTGATAAATGGATTTAAGTAGCTTCCCCTTTTTTGTCTCTGGGACCTCTTCCTTATCTCTTTCAGTCAAATTGGTTGACCTGATGTGCCATTTATAGCCAAAAAGTAGCTTTATCCTTCCTGTTCTCTTTTGGCATTTTTCCAATCAAATCCCAGTATTCATTCAGCCAGAAGTCACAATGTAGTAAATTGTGTTTATCCTGGAATAGACCAAAGGAACACACTTCCCTTCTATGTAGAGCTTTCCATGAGGATGCCCCTTAGTGACGGTTAGAGAAAAGGAATAAGTTTTTATAAAGCTTAGAATAAAATAGGAATGCTGAAAGCTTTTTTTGTGAAATATGTCTTGAAACATGTCTCTCTTTTAAAAGATTCTCTTTGGGAAATCTGAAAATTTTTGATTTTTATCAGCTTGTTTTCATACAGTTAGATCATTTTACATAGATTTTAGCAGTCTTATTTTCTGATTATCTTATAAACATTATCCCCTTGAAGGACTATCTCAGCATTCATGCTTTTTTTAGTGAAGATTCTCCTCTTTCCATGAGATTGGTCCCAAAGGCAGTGTGAGTAATGGTTATCATATTGTCATGCTGTGTTTTGATGTGGGGAGCACAGAGAAGGAATAGTCTTTTTTTTATATGTAATTTATTTATTTTGTAGTCGACACATATTGATTGTACATATTTATGGGGTACAGAGTTATAGTTCAATACATGTATACAGAGTGTGATGATTAAATCAGGGTAATTAGCATATTTATCATCGCTTATCATTTCTTTGTGATGAGAACATTTGAGCAGGAGCAATTTGAGAACATACAATAAATTATTGTTAATCATTTACAACTAGCACTACTGTACACCACTAGAACTTATTTTTTCCATCTAGTTGTAGTTTTGTATCCATTAACCAACCTCTTCCTGTCCCTTCTCTCCCCTTCCCAGCCTCTAGTAACCCACAATTTTACAATTCTACACTCCACTTCTAAAAGCTCAACTTTTTTTTTTTAAGCTCCCACATATGAGTAAGAACATGCTGTATTTATCTCTCTGTGCCTCAGAGACTATACTTCACAAAGTGTGGATCAGTCTCCTCACTTGGAAATAGGCTGTTATCAGTGTTTTCTAATTTCTTACATAGCAAATAAGATGGTGTTTCTGCCCTGTTTCATTATTTTGCACTTATGAGAACAGTCTTCTGTAAGCTAAACAAAAGCATGTTTTTCTGAAACTAAGTAATGCCCACATTGTTGGAAGTTTAGACTATAAGTTTTAATGACCCTAGAAGCAGGAGTTGGAAACTAACATTTCTTTTAAACATTATATATCTTTAGTAGTATGTGTTCTCTATTGCAAAAGTAAAACAATTCATAAAGAATCTCATTAATGTGTAGCCCATAGGATCTTTTATTTTTCAGTATCTTGTGAATTTTTTTGGTAGTGTGCAAATTCAGAGTACATTTATAAACCTTGAGGTTTTTTTTTTTAAAGTTGTTTCTTTGTATATTCTTTTCTTTTAAAAATCTCTCCTTTCTTACCTTCTTGTCTCCTTTTTTTAATGTGCAGATAATGAACACGTATATATGGAGTTGTCACAAAAGCTTTATAAGTATTGTCCAAAAGAATGGAAGAAAGAGGCCAGCAAGGTACGACAATACGAAGTCACTTGGGTGAGATTACATTTATGAGCAAAATTATTTTGATTTTTTTAAAGTGTTTATTTTATACATTAGAAAAAATCTTAAGCAATACTTTATACAGTAAAAAATAGGAAAGGGAAATTAATGATAAGTTCTAAAATGTCATATTAATCAAGTATTAATAATTTATAGCATGTAACAGTAGATTCTGAATATCTGTTAAATTATGTTGGATGATAATGTTTTAGTAATCTTGGGATAATTCTTTGAAGTGAAAAGGATGGAAACATTTGCTCCTATGGCTATGTTAGTTGTCAGAACTGAAGTTCAAGAAATTATTAGTAGTTTTTGAATCTACTTTTACTATACTTGCATTTGATACTTAGTTTATTATACTGGTGCCTTTGTTTAGTAAACATCAATTCCATTTATGTGGGAGAGCATTCACAGGGAACTAGTGTTTTCAGGATCACCCTAGTAAGTCAGGAATAAAACCCCAGTGTCTAATCCTAGACCCTACAATTTGTGTTTAAGAATTCTTGGAGTAAATTGTAGTCAACTACAAAGTAAAGAACTTGAATGTCTAAATAAACAAACAACATTTCAGAATTTGGTATGTGGAATGTCCGAGGAACAAGAGAACATTTGTAATAAGGAGCAAATGGTCACTCCAGGGGACAGAGCTGAGCAAGGAGCTGGATCTCAGCTAGAAATTTCCATTAGCATTTATTTTTATCTTCCCTTATGTTGTCATTGGCATTACAGTGAATGAGAACCAGAGAGAGGGATGGTGCCCTGTTTTGCTTTATAACCTTCTGGTATCCATATGGGACAACTGTCTACCCACTAAAGCCCCGCTTATTACAAGGAGATAAAACCTTTCAGTGTTTAAAAAGTATCTTGCAAACAATGGTGTTTTGGTTGTTTTAGAACGTATTTTTGAAGTAACTAAAAATAGCTTGATTTTTATGTGTGTCTTTGTTTTAGGGTATTGACCAGTTTGGGCCTCCTATGATTATCCACTTCCGTGTACAGTACTATGTGGAAAATGGCAGATTGATCAGGTATGAGAGCAGGGAGAGATTTGAGACCTTTATTTCCTATGCACTTCTTCTGACATAGCAAATAAGTTACTCATGTTTACTGTTTGTCTCCACCTGTTAGACTATAAACTCTATAAGAGTGGAAATTTTTTTCCTTTTTAATCTTTTTGCACATGCATGTATCCTCAGTCCCTAAAACAGAGGCACAGTAGGCACTCAATAAATATTTGGTGAATGAACGAATGATAATGTTAGACTGTTGATGAAATGTAAACATCATACTGGCTCATTTTTTTTATACTCTGCACTTTCAAAAATAAATCATTCACCAGAAAGATATTTCTTTCAAGAAGGAACTACCACTTTTTTGAAAGACTATTTAAATATCTATTCTGGTGATGGGGTGGAGAGAGGGGGAGGGGCAGGAACCCTCCTCTAAAAGCACATACATGTTTCTATAGCCTGGTTTTGTTTTCACATTTGGGGTCTTGCTTGTATTCTTGGGAATAGCTTTAAACCAAAGAGTAAGGCCCTTTGGAACTATCCTGTGAGAATCTTCAGAGTCAGTTTGACAAAGGCAGGTAAGATTCTTTTTCTGGAGGTGAGTTCATGAATAATACCATGCATATCATACATATTCAGAACTTACCATTTCAGAAGCTCTCAGTTCATCATTTGTATAGGAGGATTCAGTGATGAAAAATTTCAGAGGTGATTTTCTTGGCTGATAGAAAATACTAGAAATGTGAACTCTCTGTTTTATTTATTTATTTTTAAACTTTGAGAAACTCCATGTGAAAGAAGCAAAGATACATTTGGCTAGTGAGCTATACATAAAATTAGCTCTTTATTTATATCAGGGCCAAATGCAAATTAAAAAGTAAAAAATATTAGCCCATAAAGAACTTTTTTTAAAGGCTGAGAAACTTTGATATTCATTCTCAGTTTATATAAAATTTTCACCCAATTTACCCAGTAAGTGTGAAATGCCCTGGAAAGAAGGAACATATATTATTTAACCATTAATTAACCCCCTGGGGCTAATGAATTTTTAATTAATCCCTATCCTTCTGCCCTTTATCTCCCTGGGGATGAACCAGTCCAAACAGTGTGTGGTCAGCATTATAAAAAGCAGTGCTCTGAAAAGTACTCTGTCCTAAGGGGAAAAAATTGAATAAATGCTTTATTTTTAAGTTTTTTGTATTTAAACATGGTCTTGGTTAAAATAAACCCATATGTTTTTATGATTATCTACTAATGATATTAGCTATGAACCTCAGCTAAACATTTAACCTGAAATGATAGGGAAGCAAATAATTTCACTAAAATACATACACACACAAATTTTTTTCTTATCTGTACTTTGATCACAAAAAGCATCCTATTTGTGGGTGAACATTTTTTTTTTTTCTTTTGAGTTTTGACTGTGCTTTCCCCAGTCAGCTCTTCTTACCTGACATATTTAATGGTTACTGTATTTATTTCTGAATTCCATGGTTTGTAACAAGGGCACTATTAGTACTTACTGTTGTGGGGAGTATCATGATTGTCATGACATATGCCTAAAAAACACACCCATAGAGTAACATCCACTTAATCATAAAACAAAAAACATTTAAGGAAAGGTTTCTGTTTATTCTTTCTTAGAGAAATTTTTTTAAAAAGAACACTATAGTTAAGCAAATTTTTTTGAAGGGTATATAAAAATAAACATTTTTTAAAGGGCCTTAGAGTATTTATAGTGTGCTCAGCTAAAAAACAAAACAGAACAGCAAAACATTAAAGCCAGGACTGCCCCTCAGATTTGTCCTCATTTATTTCACGTGTGCATCATCATCGTAGAAAAATTACTTTAATAGAAAAAGTGCCTGGGCTTCTGTTGTAATACTTGTTCAGTGAAATATTTACCATATTGGAGTGGTATACTTCAGATCTTTTCTTCCTTCTCTGAATGGATCAAATATTGTAAGCCTCAGGACATGTTATTTTTGCTGTCTGGATAGTCTGACTTGGACTTCTGACCCCCTGTGACCTCATTGAGGCAGCCGTCAGGTATAGCTGCAACCTCCCCCTTTCCAGTGAGGTCGGAGAGAGGGGCACAAACAGAAGGGCTCCTGTCACCAGATGGAGAGCAGGGTTTGGGTTCTGTTTACATGCTATTGGATTGTTCCATCAAAATGTGAGTTCTGTTTTCTTTTATTTTTCTAGTGACAGAGCAGCAAGATTCTATTATTACTGGCACCTGAGAAAACAAGTTCTTCATTCTCAGTGTGTGCTCCGAGAAGAGGCCTACTTCCTGCTAGCAGCCTTTGCCCTGCAGGCTGATCTTGGGAACTTCAAAAGGAATAAGCACTATGGAAAATACTTTGAGCCGGAGGCTTACTTCCCATCTTGGGTAGGCACTGTCTTCAGATTCTAAAGAGTGTTTTCTCTAGCGCATTTCTAGTTCATTTTGCTGCTACTCACGCTGCTTCAAGAAGAGGGGACCCAGACATTTTGTGGCCAGTAGTTTTACTCTTCATGAAGCCCCAAAACAAATTTCACACTTGAGAGCATGGCACACATGATGGTACACGTGCTTATAGTTAATGGGGAAGAGGATCGCTGTCCATCCTAACTGTGGTGGAACTTGGACTCTGCCAGCCTCCTTCGGCACTTATATGGCTTTTGCCGTCTTACCTGCTCTTACTGGAGCATCATTTTCCCCCTTTGAAGGCAGAAAAACACTACTCTTTAAAAGGTAAGATAATTCACAGCTTTTCCTGTGCTGAGCAAACAAATACAAGTCAGCTTCTTGCTCTGACCTCCGTGTCCTTCACTCCCAGGAGAGGAAATTTAGGTTATTCCAGCAGGAACCTTCTCAGCTACCCTTTCTCCACCCCACCCTGTTTCTGTTCCCATTCTCCCTCCAGGTCTTCACTGTGTCTTCTCTCTCTCTCCCATATTGTTAGCCTCTCCTCAGACTAACTCTTCTTCAGTCAGAACATACGAAACATATTTGGTTCTCACCCGCGCATCTTTGGGAAAGATCCCAAAGAAGATTTCCCTTGTCAGTAAAGCTTTTTGGAAAAGTCTTGTGTATTTGATTTTTCACCTTCTTTACTTCCTGCCTGTATTCCTCAAGCCACTTCTGTCTGCCTGCTCTCCCCAACAGTTCACTAATCGTGCTGTCCCTAAGGTCATCAGTGAGATTTATATTGCCAAATCCAATGGATACTTTTCACTCCTTTTCCTGTATTTTAATGCTGCCCTTGACACTTAGCCACTCACATTTTGGGAGATCTCATCCAGATTAATGCTTTTAATGATCACCTATGTGCTGGCGACACCCAAATCTGTTTCTCTCCTCTATATCCATGAGGGAGCTGCTTACCCATAGACGCTTCAAACTCAAAATGTCCTAATCAAATTCATCTTGTTCCCACCTCAATTCTATGTATTCCTGCCTCTGTATTCCTAATCTCAGCTCATGGCACTGCAAGTCACCCAGAAATTGAGAGTCATACGGATCCCCCCATCACCATTCCTTCTCCTGGTGCCATCCAGTCAACTGCAATATCCTCTAACATATAC